TAACGCCGCTCTCAGCAGTATTCCAGTGATGTATGACGGTGGTCTGTTGTGTTTGAAATAAATGCAAATTGAATCTGGAATCTTGAAAGTTGTAGCTTTTCCGCAAATCAGTATCACATGCAGTATACAGTATATCAACTGCAATATACTGTATACAACATGCAGTATACAGTGTGTCGCGAGCTACGCGCTGGGCTGGAGCACACATTTCCTGCCCCCCTCCCTTCGGCAAACACTTGATGGGGGGTGTAACGAGGTCACAGGACAGGCCTGCACTCGTCAGTTGTCTGATACGGTCAAGAGTAAGACGTTATGACGATCACTGCACTAGAGAAATGTGGATTGTTGATGAGGTACAACGTGTTTGGAACTGGGAGTTGAACACTAAGCACTTATAGAGAAGAGCTCACCATAAAACGTTATGGACTCGCGGACGGACTTGTGTTTTCAATTCAAGACGCACATGTATCAGGTTGAACTTCTACGACAGATATAACTTGGTTACCGCTCCCTCACTGTAACATTAACTGAACTTTACGCCTTTTATACATATTTGTGACGGGGCGACAATGCGACAACGAGACATATTTTGACATTGAAAAATGTCGCGTTACGGCATTGTCGCCCTTTTGTAAAATATAGAAAAAGATTATTCAAAGAGCGACAATGCGACAACGCGACAATGCGTCAAATGGACAAAATGTCGCGTTGTCGAATTGTCGCGCTTTGGTTAATTTTGACACGTTTTGCTTGTTTTTGTAAAGGCGTCAATGCGACAATACGACAACGCGACAATGTCTCTTCCCAGATTCCATAGTGATCCGTGCAAATAAAACTGAGTTATGAAATAGAAGTCTAACATGACAATTAAAAGATAAAGTGTAAAAATGCGCTGATGAGTTCATCTGCATGCCGAGTGTATACGCTGTGATTAACAATAATGTTCTGAGTCAATACATTTTGTCAAATGTATGACATGTATTACCTGTAGGAACATATTGTTTATACTCGTCCATGTTTTTGACGGACAATATAATTTACATGCTCGGTAATAGTGAGGAACTTCATCATTGTGTTTCCGTGCTTTGTTCAGGTGAACAATGTCCTTGCATGTGTTTGTGATGGGTGCCACCTGTGTGGCAGAATACGCTCACCTTTTCGCGAACACCCGTTGGATGGCCTGAACCACGGATTTCTATCCCACATCAGTCTGATACACCGTGATATAACTGAAATACTGTTCAAAGTGGTGTTTAATGCGATCACCGTAGTGTGTTACTGCAACTGTCCAAATTTTGTGAAGTGATGTTATGTAATATGTAAAATAAAGCATATTCAATTATCCAATTGATTTGATTAGAATATACTTGCGTCAGTGTATTTGATTAACGCCCAAAACCGTACTTGTTAAACACATATAATAACAGATCATATACACGCATGGTGACTTGACTTACTATTAGCTTCAATAGGCCATTCCGGAATAAAAAAGTTCCCCCAAAAGCGAGCAACATCTGTTTTAGTTTGTTTACAAGAAATATATTCCAAAAAATCTCCTCATTAGATGAGAAGGTCTGTTAAGAACTACCTCAGTATGTCAATCACAATGACAGAGCGTCGTAATACATTTACATCAAGTACAAGACGTCAAAATGGCCGACACGTTAAACGTGACGGGAGATATGTCCGAAGGTGTTAATTAACCTGTGGCGATTTCAAGCCTTTGTCATCACTGATCAATTGGCCGATCATTGAAAGGTGATTGTAAAGATGTGTCAAATAGATACTAAGGTAAATTCACAGATTGCTGTAGATTGTCACAACGATAGTTTTGATTTTGGGGTTGTTTTTTTCTCTAGGATAGGTTGTAGCGAGGGTATCCTTGAACGGGCATGCAACCAAACTCTATGACTTATCCCAGAGTATGCTAAGACGCTACACTCAAAATTAAAGGGTCTAAATGATGAGGAACCACGCTTCTGTGTGAATTCGTACCAGGGAAATCCCAGGGTTTTCCTCAAGCTGTTGAAGTAGTCAGTGTTTACGTAATTTCAAGAACACAGTCACGTGAAAAACAGCATGTGACCCACCTCTCGTCCTATGGAAAAGCTGTATATCGTGTAAACTTCACATTACAAAATTAGTTACTGTTATAACCAAACACAACCCTTTATCCGATGGATGTAACTGGGCATAGCGGAGGGATATGTTATCTCAATTAACTTGGTAACATAGTTTGGTTTGACTTCTTGGCGCGTGTCTGAATTCAATTAACATGTTACATATCCTAAAACTGACTAATCAGCAAATCTAGCTTCACTGCGCGCGACAGATACTAGAGCAAGGCATGCCAGAAATACGAAACCTAATGCTTCCGAAAGGAAGCCTTGGACATCACGTGCGTCGGGGGACCAGCGCCATCTGATTTGCCGTTAACAGTCGTACAAGGCGGAGCAAAAAGCATCGTTTTTACCGTCCATTTTACGCTTGAAAAACTCGACGCTTTTCCGGACACTTTCTAGACGCTAACAAATTAATCAATTTTAATAAATTTTTAGTCGTTTTTCCGTCCAATGACAATATACGGGAAAAAACGACGTTTTCGTGTTTGCAGTATAGTGGTGGTTTATTTCAGTAAATCAGGCCTGAGGCCCATTTTACAATATATATTCAAGCATTCAAACATGTTGCGCCACAAGTGCATGTAGTAATATCAATACTAATCAGGAGTATATACGGGAAAAAACGACGTTTTCGTGTTTGCAGTGATAAGCGCAATAATCTTGGACGCGACGTTATACCCCATTTCACCTCACCTCACCTCAAGGGGCGAGTAACAAAATAGTACATACCAAATGTAAAACGTCATTCATTGTGATGCATTCCTATAGTTGTCACCTAACATATAATATCCCAAACTAAGTTGCGTAATTTGGTGGGTTTTTATTTTATGTAGTTTATTAAAGTTCAAAGTAATGTTCAAGAGGAGGGACGTGTTGGTTCGTCCAACAACCTCGGGGCAAAATAACCCTTGAAGAATAATACATATTTCCAGGGATCGATTTATGTTTTCGTGGCATCAGCGACATGCAATTTCGCTTTTCCGCACAACGGGTTCTTAAGTATGTGTAATATTTGTTTATCGACTCGCACGTATTTGAACTAAAATTGTGATTCATTGTCACAGTTGATGCGATGCAGTAAATAGTGTTAATTTCCATCTGGAGAATACATCATGAATAAATAAGATGCCGGTCGTGGTTGGTTGATTGGAGCCTATGTTTGTCGTAAGGGGCGACTAACGGGATCGTGTGGTCCGGCTCGATGACTTGGTTGATGCATGTCATCGATCCCATTTGCGTGTATCGATACTCATGATGGCAATCAGTTGATTGTCTGGTCAAAATTCCCTGAAACCACAACCAAATCAGATCTCGTGGCGTAGGATATGACCACACACACACACACACACACACACACACACACACACGCGCGCGCGCGCGCGCGCGCCATGACACCACCGCCACCGAATTTGTCGAATTCACGTATACAATGTGGGGCAAAACGCTTATTTCAACACGTTGCCTTCCATCTCTCCGGTGAAGAAGAAACGTGATTCATCGCTAAACCACACTCGTCTCCAGTTTCTCAAATTCCAAGGCTGTAAGGTATGGCACCAACGCAAGTGTCGCTGTCGATGGACAGGGACGATAACTGGTCTTCTGGGTCGGATTCCAGCCTCGCGAAGATGGTTCCTGACAGTCTGGTCCGATATCCTCCTCAAAAAAGGGATGCGTCCTGCAATCCCCGAAGCTGTGGCATTGCGATGATGTAGGTGGAACAGTCGAATGTAGCGATCCTGTGCATGGGAGGACGGTCAGCAGTGGAATCGAACTGTGTGTATCAGTCCCAAAGGCGGCAAACGGTGCTGTGGTTGACGTTAAAGACGGTGTGAAACAGAAGACTGCGATTCCCCTCTTTGGATACGTCATATGGTGATGTTCCGATCGGCAGCTCTGAGTGTCGGCATTTTCGAAAGAAGAAAAATGTTGACAATTGAATGACAAATCATTGGCTTATGCTTGCCTTTTTATAGCCACTACTACGAGTTACGAATGCCATAACTTGCGCGTGCATTTTACTTTACTGTTTTCCTCCGTGACATTATTGAACAACCGTTTAAGACATTGCAAATCGACAATGGCTGCGTTTTGATGCACCGTTTGTCGAATATCAGGCCATGAACATAACGTATATCCAGTTCAGTGAACTGCAAAATACCTCTGCGTTTCGTTTTTTGAAGAGTGTATGCGTGACGGTGAACCTTTCATCACAAGGTTCGTCCTCACCTGTCCTAAGCAGATATTCGTAGGTAAAACGACCTTATCATGTCTTGACTGACAACCCAAGTAGGTTTGACCGTTTTTTGGTTTAATTTCGTAAACTTTATATTGATTCCTACCTGAGTGTCCCACCTTTTTGGTATTAGTTCCCGAGTAAAACTTTTGATACCCGGTTTGAAAGTGGATGTCCTCATTTTGTTGAAACTGGTAAGTTGTGTTTGTTTATTTATTGTATAACGCCGCACTCAGCAATATTCAAGCTAAATGACTGCGGTCTGTAGAATAGGTCTTCAGCAACCCATGCTTGCCGTAAAAGGTGACTATGCTTGTCGTAAAAGGCGACTAACGGGATCGGGTAGTCAGGATCGCTGACTTGGATGATGCATGTCATCGTTCCCAATTGCGTGGATGGATGCTCCAGACTCCATTATTTACAGACCGCCGTCATTTAGCTGGAATATTCCTGAGTGCGGCGTTAAAAAAACAAACCAACCAACCAATTGCGTGGATCGATGCGCATGATGTCAGTCACTGGATGGTCCAGACTCGATTATTTACAGACCGAGGTCATATAGCTGGTATATTGCTGAGTGTGGCGTTAAACAACAAACAGACAATTATATATATACATGAATCCCATGACTGATTTTATTACAGTAAACGGTGGTTGGTCCTCGTGGTCAGTAACATCAGCTGGCCCTTGTTCGTTGACTTGTGGAAGTGGTCAGCAAACTGTTGCCAGGGCCAGGACCTGCTCTAACCCAGCTCCGGGCCATGGTGGGGCTTCTTGTTCCGGAGCGTCAACGGACAGTCAGACACAGGCATGTAACACCGTGGCTTGTCCAGGTAGGACACATATGGTTAATCGCAAAGCATTCCGATGATTCCATAGTTTACTGTACATGTACATATTCTCCATGGTTAAGTTAATTGCTGTAAAATCAAGGTAATTTAGATGAAATATTTTTCTGTACATATATATGATATGGTCTTGTGGCTTGAACATTCCAGTCGTATAATGAAGGGTGCATGTTTTAAATGATGGTATATGACCATGGCTTTTTCCTGGTCAACTTAAAATAACAATGTTATAATTCATAGCCTGTTCAAATAATCATTACGACATCATTCTGTTCAACAGTTGTAGATTCACATTAAAACTGGTGGTATAACTATGTGTTAAGAGTTTTTTCGGTTGATGTTGACGCGAGCAAGACCTTGACAGAAGCTGAGATCTTTATGTAACGAGTACATGAGTTTTCCTGGACCGAGGAATTACTCATAGATCTATAGTTGTTTGTTTTCTTTTTGAAAAATCTGCTGTTTGCATGCAAATGAGCAATAACTCCAGTTTTCAGTTATTTGTCATACATTCGAAACCATTTCGTAACCGTCTCCAATGTCTATGAATTTGCCATGTGGGGAAAATTTTTCCCCTGTCATGCCTCATCCTTCGTCGGTACACAAACCTCCAAAGTGTTTCGCCCATACACCATCAAACTAGGTTTTCCTTGAAACAAATATATAAATGATTTCTCGAAAACCTTTACTCTTTAGTTGATGGCGCCTGGGCTTCATGGACTGTAGCGTCCACTGGAACATGCTCACTGACCTGCGGGGGAGGGCAGCAGTCACTTAGTCGGGTCAGGACATGTACCAACCCTCCCCCTGATAATGGCGGTTTAACCTGCCCAGGCTCGTCCTCAGATACTCAAAGTCAATCCTGCAACACCTCACCCTGTCCAGGTAAGATATGAAATTCCTTGTGCATAGTAAATAATTGTAGTAATCGTTTGAAAGGAACCTGCTCAACCCAATAATAGGTATAAGTAAGGAATAACGGGTACTGTCATTTTGGGCCATGTTCAGTGACATATGAGGGTCGAGTACAAGGGACAGGACATGTGCCAACACTGTCATAGAGCCCTGTGGCGCACTGTACACTCCCCGAGGCGTCCTCAAACACCACCACTGAGCGGTGTAACGTCACAGACTGCCCATGTAATGATCAAGCTATATCTAATTGTCTGAGTAACCCGTCATAAATTTTATGTTGCTTCATATATTTTGTGATTACTGTCCCTTTAAATAATGTTTGTGTGTTTGTTTAACGCCGCACTTAGCAATATTCCAGCTATATGTAAATAAACGAATCTCGACCAGACAATCCAGTGATTGACATCATGAGCATCGATCCACGCAATCAGGATACGATGACATGCATCGTCCAAGTCAGCGAGTCTGACCACCCGATCCCGTTAGTCGCCTCTTACAACAAGCATAGTCGCCTTTTACGGCAAGCATGGGTTGCTGAAGACCTATTCTACCCCGAATCTTAACGGGTCTTTTTTAGATGAAATACCTTTCTGTAAATATATGATGAAATATCTTTCTGTAAATATATGAACACGGGTTAAATGTAATATAGTCTTGTGGCAGAAACATTCTATTCGTAAAATGACAACCTTACTCTTTAGTTGATGGCGCCTGGGCTTCATGGACTGTAGCGTCCACTGGAACATGCTCACTGACCTGCGGGGGAGGGCAGCAGTCACTTAGTCGGGTCAGGACATGTACCAACCCTCCCCCTAATAAAGGCGGTTTAACCTGCCCAGACTCGTCCTCAGATACTCAAAGTCAACCCTGCAACACCTCACCCTGTCCAGGTAAGATATGAAATTCCTTGTGCATAGTAAATAATTGTAGTAATTGTTTGAAAGGAACCCGTTCAACCAAATAATAGGTATAAGTAAGTAATAACGGGTATTGTCATTTTGGACTGTGACAACAATTGGGCCATGTTCAGTGACATATGGGGGTCGAGTATAAGGGACAGGACATGTGCCAACCCTGTCATAGGGCTCCGAGGCGTCCACAAACACCACCAGTGAGCAGTGCAATGTCACAGGCTGCCCAGGTAAGGACCAAGCTATATCTCATTGTCTGAGTAACCCATCATAAATGTCATGTTGCTTCATATATTTTCTGACTACTGTCCCTTTAAGTAATTTTGGTGTGTTTGTTTAACGCCACACTTAGCAATATTCCAGCTATATGTAAATAAACGAATCTCGACCAGACAATCCAGTGATTGACATCATGAGCATCGATCCACGCATCAGGATACGGTGACATGCATCAACCATGTCAGCGAGCCTGACAACCAGCTGATCCCGTTAGTAGCCTCTTACAACAAGCATAGTCGCCTTTTACGGCAAGCATGGGTTGCTGAAGACCTATTCTTCCCCGAATCTTCACAGGTCTTTTTAGATGAAATACCTTTCTGTAAATATATGATGAAATATCTTTCTGTAAATATATGAACACGGGTTAAATGTAATACAGTCTTGTGGCAGAAACATTCTATTCGTCTAATGAAGGGTGCATTTTTGAAATGACACTTTATGACAATGTATTTTTTCTGGCCAACTGGTGTAATAGCCTGTTCAAATAATCATTACGACATCATTCTGTTCAACAGTTGTAGATTCACTTAAAAACTGGTAGTATAACTGTGTGTGAAGAGTGTTTTCGGTTGATGTTAACACGAGCAAGACCTTGACCAAAGCTGAGATCTTTATGAAACGAGTACAGGAAGTTATCCTGGACCTAGGAATTACTCATAGATATATGGGTTGGTTTTTCCTTTTTGAAAAATCTGCCGTTTGCACGCAATTGAGCCAAAACTGAGTGTATATTAGCTTTAAGCTCGAAAGTTTACTACATTTAATATTCCAGTTTTCAGTCATTTGTCATCACATCGAAACCGTTTCGTAATCGTCTCCAATGTTTATGAATTAGTCAGGTGGGTAAAAATATTCCACTCACATGCCTCGTTCTTCGTCGTTGACAGGTACAACGTGTCTGTACACAAACCTGCAAAGTGTTTCGCCCATACACCATCAAACTAGTTTTTCCTTGAAACAAATAAACGAATGATTTCTTAAAAAACCTTTACTCTTTAGTTGCTGGCGCCTGGGCTTCATGGACTGTAGCGTCCACTGGAACATGCTCACTGACCTGCGGGGGAGGGCAGCAGTCACTAAGTCGGGTCAGGACATGTACCAACCCTCCCCCTGACAATGGCGGTTCAACCTGCCCAGGCTCGTCCTCAGACACTCAAAGTCAATCCTGCAACACCTCACCCTGTCCAGGTAAGATATGAAATTCCATGTGCATAGTAAATAATTGTAGTAATCGTTTGAAAGGAACCTGCTCAACCCAATAATAGGTATAAGTAAGTAATAACGAGTATTGTCATTTTGGGCCATGTTCAGTGACATATGAGGGTCGAGTACAAGGGACAGGACATGTGCCAACACTGTCATAGAGCCCTGTGGCGCACTGTGCACTCCCCGAGGCGTCCTCAAACACCACCACTGAGCAGTGCAACGTCACAGACTGCCCATGTAATGACCAAGCTATATCTCATTGTCTGAGTAACCCGTCATAAATGTCATGTTGCTTCATATATTTTCTGACTTCTGTCCCTTTAAGAAATGTTTGTTTGTTTGTTTAACGCCGCACTGAGCAATATTCCAGCTATATGTAAATAAACGAATCTCGACCAGACAATCCAGTGATAGACATCATGAGCATCGATCCACGCAAGCAGGATACGATGACATGCATCATCCAAGTCAGCGAGTCTGACCACCCGATCCCATTAGTCGCCTCTTACAACAAGCATAGTCGCCTTTTACGGCAAGCATGGGTTGCTGAAGACCTATTCTTCCCCGAATCTTAACAGTTCTTTTTTAGATGAAATACCTTTCTGTAAATATATGATGAAATATCTTTCTGTAAATATATGAACACGGGTTAAATGTAATATAGTCTTGCGGCAGAAACATTCTATTCGTAAAATGACAACCTTACTCTTTAGTTGATGGCGCCTGGGCTTCATGGACTGTAGCGTCCACTGGAACATGCTCACTGACCTGCGGGGGAGGGCAGCAGTCACTTAGTCGGGTCAGGACATGTACCAACCCTCCCCCTAATAAAGGCGGTTTAACCTGCCAAGGCTCGTCCTCAGATACTCAAAGTCAACCCTGCAACACCTCACCCTGTCCAGGTAAGATATGAAATTCCTTGTGCATAGTAAATAATTGTAGTAATTGTTTGAAAGGAACCCGTTCAACCAAATAATAGGTATAAGTAAGTAATAACGGGTATTGTCATTTTGGACTGTGACAACAATTGGGCCATGTTCAGTGACATATGGGGGTCGAGTATAAGGGACAGGACATGTGCCAACCCTGTCATAGGGCTCCGAGGCGTCCACAAACACCACCAGTGAGCAGTGCAATGTCACAGGCTGCCCAGGTAAGGACCAAGCTATATCCCATTGTCTGAGTAACCCATCATAAATGTCATGTTGCTTCATATATTTTCTGACTACTGTCCCTTTAAGTAATTTTGGTGTGTTTGTTTAACGCCACACTTAGCAATATTCCAGCTATATGTAAATAAACGAATCTCGACCAGACAATCCAGTGATTGACATCATGAGCATCGATCCACGCATCAGGATACGGTGACATGCATCAACCATGTCAGCGAGCCTGACGACCAGCTGATCCCGTTAGTAGCCTCTAACAACAAGCATAGTCGCCTTTTACGGCAAGCATGGGTTGCTGAAGACCTATTCTTCCCCGAATCTTCACAGGTCTTTTTAGATGAAATACCTTTCTGTAAATATATGATGAAATATCTTTCTGTAAATATATGAACACGGGTTAAATGTAATACAGTCTTGTGGCAGAAACATTCTATTCGTCTAATGAAGGGTGCATTTTTGAAATGACACTTTATGACAATGTATTTTTTCTGGCCAACTGGTGTAATAGCCTGTTCAAATAATCGTTACGACATCATTCTGTTCAACAGTTGTAGATTCACTTAAAAACTGGTAGTATAACTATGTGTGAAGAGTTTTTTCGGTTGATGTTAACGCGAGCAAGACCTTGACCAAAGCTGAGATCTTTATAAAACGAGTACATGAAGTTATCCTGGACCTAGGAGTTACTCATAGATATATGGGTTGGTTTTTCTTTTTGAAAAATCTGCCGTTTGCACGCAATTGAGCAATAACTGAGTGTATTGGCTTTAAGCTCGAAAATTTACTACATTTACTATTTCAGTTTTCAGTCATTTGTCATCCAATCGAAACCGTTTCGTAACCTTCTCCAATGTCTGTGAATTTGTCAGGTGGGTAAAATATTCCCCTGACATGCCTCGTGCTTCGTCGTTGACAGGTACACCGTGTTTGTAAACAAACCTGCAAAGTGTTTCCCCCATACACCATCAAACTAGGTTTTCCTTGAAACAAATAAACAAATGATTTCTCGACAACCTTAACTCTTTAGTTGATGGCGCCTGGGCTTCATGGACTGTAGCGTCCACTGGAACATGCTCACTGACCTGCGGGGGAGGGCAGCAGACACTTAGTCGGGTCAGGACATGTACCAACCCTCCCCCTGACAATGGCGGTTCAACCTGCCCAGGCTCGTCCTCAGATACTCAAAGTCAACCCTGCAACACCTCACCCTGTCCAGGTAAGATATGAAATTCCTTGTCCATAGTAAATAATTGTAGTAATTGTTTGAAAGGAACCCGTTCAACCAAATAATAGGTATAAGTAAGTAATAACGGGTATTGTCATTTTGGACTGTGACAACAATTGGGCCATGTTCAGTGACATATGGGGGTCGAGTATAAGGGACAGGACATGTGCCAACCCTGTCATGGGGCTCCGAGGCGTCCACAAACACCACCAGTGAGCAGTGCAATGTCACAGGCTGCCCAGGTAAGGACCAAGCTATATCTCATTGTCTGAGTAACCCATCATAAATGTCATGTTGCTTCATATATTTTCTGACTACTGTCCCTTTCAAGTAATGATGGTGTGTTTGTTTAACGCCACACTTAGCAATATTCCAGCTATATGTAAATAAACGAATCTCGACCAGACAATCCAGTGATTGACATCATGAGCATCGATCCACGTATCAGGATACGATGACATGCATCAACCATGTCAGCGAGCCTGACAACCAGATCCCGTTAGTCGCCTCTTACAACAAGCATAGTCGCCTTTAACGGCAAGCATGGGTTGCTGAACACCTATTCTTCCCCGAATCTTCACAGGTCTTTTTAGATGAAATACCTTTCTGTAAATATATGATGAAATATCTTTCTGTAAATATATGAACACGGGTTAAATGTAATACAGTCTTGTGGCAGAAACATTCTATTCGTCTAATGAAGGGTGCATTTTTGAAATGACACTTTATGACAATGTATTTTTTCTGGCCAACTGGTGTAATAGCCTGTTCAAATAATCATTACGACATCATTCTGTTCAACAGTTGTAGATTCACTTAAAAACTGGTAGTATAACTGTGTGTGAAGAGTGTTTTCGGTTGATGTTAACACGAGCAAGACCTTGACCAAAGCTGAGATCTTTATGAAACGAGTACAGGAAGTTATCCTGGACCTAGGAATTACTCATAGATATATGGGTTGGTTTTTCCTTTTTGAAAAATCTGCCGTTTGCACGCAATTGAGCCAAAACTGAGTGTATATTAGCTTTAAGCTCGAAAGTTTACTACATTTAATATTCCAGTTTTCAGTCATTTGTCATCACATCGAAACCGTTTCGTAATCGTCTCCAATGTTTATGAATTAGTCAGGTGGGTAAAAATATTCCACTCACATGCCTCGTTCTTCGTCGTTGACAGGTACAACGTGTCTGTACACAAACCTGCAAAGTGTTTCGCCCATACACCATCAAACTAGTTTTTCCTTGAAACAAATAAACGAATGATTTCTTAAAAAACCTTTACTCTTTAGTTGCTGGCGCCTGGGCTTCATGGACTGTAGCGTCCACTGGAACATGCTCACTGACCTGCGGGGGAGGGCAGCAGTCACTAAGTCGGGTCAGGACATGTACCAACCCTCCCCCTGACAATGGCGGTTCAACCTGCCCAGGCTCGTCCTCAGACACTCAAAGTCAATCCTGCAACACCTCACCCTGTCCAGGTAAGATATGAAATTCCATGTGCATAGTAAATAATTGTAGTAATCGTTTGAAAGGAACCTGCTCAATCCAATAATAGGTATAAGTAAGTAATAACGAGTATTGTCATTTTGGGCCATGTTCAGTGACATATGAGGGTCGAGTACAAGGGACAGGACATGTGCCAACACTGTCATAGAGCCCTGTGGCGCACTGTGCACTCCCCGAGGCGTCCTCAAACACCACCACTGAGCAGTGCAACGTCACAGACTGCCCATGTAATGACCAAGCTATATCTCATTGTCTGAGTAACCCGTCATAAATGTCATGTTGCTTCATATATTTTCTGACTTCTGTCCCTTTAAGAAATGTTTGTTTGTTTGTTTAACGCCGCACTGAGCAATATTCCAGCTATATGTAAATAAACGAATCTCGACCAGACAATCCAGTGATAGACATCATGAGCATCGATCCACGCAAGCAGGATACGATGACATGCATCATCCAAGTCAGCGAGTCTGACCACCCGATCCCATTAGTCGCCTCTTACAACAAGCATAGTCGCCTTTTACGGCAAGCATGGGTTGCTGAAGACCTATTCTTCCCCGAATCTTAACAGTTCTTTTTTAGATGAAATACCTTTCTGTAAATATATGATGAAATATCTTTCTGTAAATATATGAACACGGGTTAAATGTAATATAGTCTTGCGGCAGAAACATTCTATTCGTAAAATGACAACCTTACTCTTTAGTTGATGGCACCTGGGCTTCATGGACTGTAGCGTCCACTGGAACATGCTCACTGACCTGCGGGGGAGGGCAGCAGTCACTTAGTCGGGTCAGGACATGTACCAACCCTCCCCCTAATAAAGGCGGTTTAACCTGCCAAGGCTCGTCCTCAGATACTCAAAGTCAACCCTGCAACACCTCACCCTGTCCAGGTAAGATATGAAATTCCTTGTGCATAGTAAATAATTGTAGTAATTGTTTGAAAGGAACCCGTTCAACCAAATAATAGGTATAAGTAAGTAATAACGGGTATTGTCATTTTGGACTGTGACAACAATTGGGCCATGTTCAGTGACATATGGGGGTCGAGTATAAGGGACAGGACATGTGCCAACCCTGTCATAGGGCTCCGAGGCGTCCACAAACACCACAAGTGAGCAGTGCAATGTCACAGGCTGCCCAGGTAAGGACCAAGCTATATCTCATTGTCTGAGTAACCCATCATAAATGTCATGTTGCTTCATATATTTTCTGACTACTGTCCCTTTAAGTAATTTTGGTGTGTTTGTTTAACGCCACACTTAGCAATATTCCAGCTATATGTAAATAAACGAATCTCGACCAGACAATCCAGTGATTGACATCATGAGCATCGATCCACGCATCAGGATACGGTGACATGCATCAACCATGTCAGCGAGCCTGACGACCAGCTGATCCCGTTAGTAGCCTCTTACAACAAGCATAGTCGCCTTTTACGGCAAGCATGGGTTGCTGAAGACCTATTCTTCCCCGAATCTTCACAGGTCTTTTTAGATGAAATACCTTTCTGTAAATATATGATGAAATATCTTTCTGTAAATATATGAACACGGGTTAAATGTAATACAGTCTTGTGGCAGAAACATTCTATTCGTCTAATGAAGGGTGCATTTTTGAAATGACACTTTATGACAATGTATTTTTTTTGGCCAACTGGTGTAATAGCCTGTTCAAATAATCGTTACGACATCATTCTGTTCAACAGTTGTAGATTCACTTAAAAACTGGTAGTATAACTATGTGTGAAGAGTTTTTTCGGTTGATGTTAACGCGAGCAAGACCTTGACCAAAGCTGAGATCTTTATAAAACGAGTACATGAAGTTATCCTGGACCTAGGAATTACTCATAGATATATGGGTTGGTTTTTCTTTTTGAAAAATCTGCCGTTTGCACGCAATTGAGCAATAACTGAGTGTATTGGCTTTAAGCTCGAAAATTTACTACATTTACTATTTCAGTTTTCAGTCATTTGTCATCCAATCGAAACCGTTTCGTAACCTTCTCCAATGTCTGTGAATTTGTCAGGTGGGTAAAATATTCCCCTGACATGCCTCGTGCTTCGTCGTTGACAGGTACACCGTGTTTGTAAACAAACCTGCAAAGTGTTTCCCCCATACACCATCAAACTAGGTTTTCCTTGAAACAAATAAACAAATGATTTCTCGACAACCTTAACTCTTTAGTTGATGGCGCCTGGGCTTCATGGACTGTAGCGTCCACTGGAACATGCTCACTGACCTGCGGGGGAGGGCAGCAGACACTTAGTCGGGTCAGGACATGTACCAACCCTCCCCCTGACAATGGCGGTTCAACCTGCCCAGGCTCGTCCTCAGATACTCAAAGTCAACCCTGCAACACCTCACCCTGTCCAGGTAAGATATGAAATTCCTTGTCCATAGTAAATAATTGTAGTAATTGTTTGAAAGGAACCCGTTCAACCAAATAATAGGTATAAGTAAGTAATAACGGGTATTGTCATTTTGGACTGTGACAACAATTGGGCCATGTTCAGTGACATATGGGGGTCGAGTATAAGGGACAGGACATGTGCCAACCCTGTCATGGGGCTCCGAGGCGTCCACAAACACCACCAGTGAGCAGTGCAATGTCACAGGCTGCCCAGGTAAGGACCAAGCTATATCTCATTGTCTGAGTAACCCATCATAAATGTCATGTTGCTTCATATATTTTCTGACTACTGTCCCTTTCAAGTAATGATGGTGTGTTTGTTTAACGCCACACTTAGCAATATTCCAGCTATATGTAAATAAACGAATCTCGACCAGACAATCCAGTGATTGACATCATGAGCATCGATCCACGTATCAGGATACGATGACATGCATCAACCATGTCAGCGAGCCTGACAACCAGATCCCGTTAGTCGCCTCTTACAACAAGCATAGTCGCCTTTAACGGCAAGCATGGGTTGCTGAACACCTATTCTTCCCCGAATCTTCACAGGTCTTTTTAGATGAAATACCTTTCTGTAAATATATGATGAAATATCTTTCTGTAAATATATGAACACGGGTTAAATGTAATACAGTCTTGTGGCAGAAACATTCTATTCGTCTAATGAAGGGTGCATTTTTGAAATGACACTTTATGACAATGTATTTTTTCTGGCCAACTGGTGTAATAGCCTGTTCAAATAATCATTACGACATCATTCTGTTCAACAGTTGTAGATTCACTTAAAAACTGGTAGTATAACTATGTGTGAAGAGTGTTTTCGGTTGATGTTAACGGGAGCAAGACCTTGACCAAAGCTGAGATCTTTATGAAACGAGTACATGAAGTTATCCTGGACCTAGGAATTACTCATAGATATATTGGTTGGTTTTTCCTTTTTGGAAAATCTGCCGTTTGCACGCAATTGAGCAATAACTGAGTGTTTATTAGCTTTAAGCTCGAAAGTTTACTACATTTAATATTCCAGTTTTCAGTCATTTGTCATCCAATCGAAACCGTTTCGTAATCGTCTCCAATGTCTATGAAATTGTCAGGGGGGTAAAAATATTCCCCTGACATGCCTCGTTCTTCGTCGTTGACAGGTACAACGTGTTTGTACACAAACCTGCAAAGTGTTTCGCACAAACACCATCAAACTAGTTTTTCCTTGAAACAAATAAACAAATGATTTCTTAAAAAACCTTTACTCTCTAGTTGCTGGCGCCTGGGCTTCATGGACTGTAGCGTCCACTGGAACATGCTCACTGACCTGCGGGGGAGGGCAGCAGTCACTTAGTCGGGTCAGGACATGTACCAACCCTCCCCCTGACAATGGTGGTTCAACCTGCCCAGGCTCGTCCTCAGATACTCAAAGTCAATCCTGCAACACCTCACCCTGTCCAGGTAAGATATGAAATTCCTTGTGCATAGTAAATAATTGTAGTAATCGTTTGAAAGGAACCTGCTCAACCCAATAATAGGTATAAGTAAGTAATAACGAGTATTGTCATTTTGGGCCATGTTCAGTGACATATGAGGGTCGAATACAAGGGACAGGACATGTGCCAACACTGTCATAGAGCCCTGTGGCGCACTGTACACTCCCCGAGGCGTCCTCAAACACCACCACTGAGCGGTTTAACGTCACAGACTGCCCATGGAATGACCAAGCTATATCTTATTGTCTGAGTAACCCGTCATAAATTTTATGTTGCTTCATATAATTTGTGACTACTGTCCCTTTTAGTAATGTTGGTGTGTTTGATTAACGCTGCACTCAGCAATATTCCAGCTATATGTAAATAAACGAATCTCGACCAGACAATCAAGTGATTAACATCATGAGCATCGATCCACGCAATCAGGATACGATGACATGCATCAACCAAGTCAGCGAGCCTGACAACCAGATCCCGTTAGTCGCCTCTTACAACAAGCATGGGTTGCTGAAGACCTATTCTTCCACGAATCTTCACAAGTCTTTTTAGATGAAATACCTTTCTGTAAATATATGATGAAATATTGTTCTGTAAACATATGAACACGGGTTAAATGTAATATAGTCTTGTGGCAGAAACATTCTATTCGTAAAATGAAGGTTGCATTTTTCAAATGACACTTTATGACAATGTATTTTTTCTGGCCAACTGTTGAAATAGCCTGTTCAAGTAATCATTACGACATCATTCTGTTCAACAGTTGTAGATTCACTTAAAAACTGGTAGTATAACTATGTGTGAAGAGTGTTTTCGGTTGATGTTAACGCGAGCAAGACCTTGACCAAAGCTGAGATCTATATGAAACGAGTACAGGAAGTTATCCTGGACCTAGGAATTGCTCATAGATATATGGGTTGGTTTTTCCTTTTTGAAAAATCTGCCGTTTGCACGCAATTGAGCCAAAACTGAGTGTATATTAGCTTTAAGCTCGAAAGTTTACTACATTTAATATTCCAGTTTTCAGTCATTTGTCATCCAATCGAAACCGTTTCGTAATCGTCTCCAATGTCTATGAGTTAGTCAGGTGGGTAAAAATATTCCCCTGACATGCCTCGTTCTTCGTCGTTGACAGGTACAACGTGTCTGTACACAAACCTGCAAAGTGTTTCGCCCATACACAATCAAACTAGTTTTTCCTTGAAACAAATAAACGAATGATTTCTTAAAAAACCTTTACTCTTTAGTTGCTGGCGCCTGGGCTTCATGGACTGTAGCGTCCACTGGAACATGCTCACTGACCTGCGGGGGAGGGCAGCAGTCACTAAGTCGGGTCAGGACATGTACCAACCCTCCCCCTGACAATGGCGGTTCAACCTGCCCAGGCTCGTCCTCAGATACTCAAAGTCAATCCTGCAACACCTCACCCTGTCCAGGTAAGATATGAAATTCCATGTGCATAGTAAATAATTGTAGTAATCGTTTGAAAGGAACCTGCTCAACCCAATAATAGGTATAAGTAAGTAATAACGAGTATTGCCATTTTGGGCCATGTACAGTGACATATGAGGGTCGAGTACAAGGGACAGGACATGTGCCAACACTGTCATAGAGCCCTGTGGCGCACTGTGCACTCCCCGAGGCGTCCTCAAACACCACCACTGAGCGGTGTAACGTCACAGACTGCCCCTGTAATGACCAAGCTATATCTCATTGTCTGAGTAACCCGTCATAAATTTTATGTTGCTTCATATATTTTGTGACTACTGTCCCTTTAAGTAATGTTTGTGTGTTTGTTTAACGCCGCACTTAGCAATATTCCAGCTATATGTAAATAAACGAATCTCGACCAGACAATCCAGTGATTGACATCATGAGCATCGATCCACGCAATCAGGATACGATGACATGCATCAACCAAGTCAGCGAGTCTGACCACCCGATCCCGTTAGTCGCCTCTTACAACAAGCATAGTCGCCTTTTACGGCAAGCATGGGTTGCTGAAGACCTAATCTTCCCCGAATCTTAACAGGTCTTTTTTAGATGAAATACCTTTCTGTAAATATATGATGAAATATCTTTCTGTAAATATATGAACACGGGTTAAATGTAAGATAGTCTTGTGGCAGAAACATTCTATTCATCTAATGAAGGGTGCATTTTTTAAATGACACTTTATGACAATGTATTTTTTCTGGCCAACTGGTGAAATAGCCTGTTCAAATAATCATTACGACATCATTTTGTTTAACAGTTGTAGATTCACATCAAAACTGGTAGTATAACTATAGGTGAAGAGTGTTTTCGGTTGATGTTAACGCGAGCAAGACCTTGACCAAAGCTGAGATCTTTATGAAACGAGTACATTAAGTTATCCTGGACCTAGGAATTACTCATAGATATATTGGTTTATATATATATACATTTAATATTCCAGTTTTCAGTCATTTGTCATTCAATCGAAACCGTTTCGTAACCGTCTCCAATGTCTATGAATTTGTCAGGTGGGTAAAATATTCCCCTGACATGCCTCGTGCTTCGTCGTTGAAAGGTACAACGTGTTTGTAAACAAACCTGCAAAGTGTTTCGCCCATACACCATCAAACTAGGTTTTCCTTGAAACAAATAAACAAATGATTTCTCGAAAACCTTTACTCTTTAGTTGCTGGCGCCTGGGCTTCATGGACTGTAGCGTCCACTGGAACATGCTCACTGACCTGCGGGGGAGGGCAGCAGACACTTAGTCGGGTCAGGACATGTACCAACCCTCCCCCTGATAATGGCGGTTCAACCTGCCCAGGCTCGTCCTCAGATACTCAAAGTCAATCCTGCAACACCTCACCCTGTCCAGGTAAGATATGGAATCCCTTTGGTATTGTAAATAGTTGTAGTAATCGTTTGAATGGAACCCGCTCAACTCAATAACATTTATACGTAAGTAATAACGGGTATTGTCTTTTTGGACTGTGACAACAATTGGGTCATGTTCAGTGACATATGGGGGTCCGAGTATAAGGGACAGGGCATGTGCCAACCCTGTCCTTGAGCCCTGTGGTGCACTCTGCTCCGCGCCACCACTGAGCAGTGCAACGTCGCAGGCTACCCAGGTAAGGACCAAGCTATATCTCATTGCCTTTTTATCTGTATGAATAACACGTCATAAATGTCATATTGTTTCTTATTACCCACGTGGTGAAGATACAGGTGGTAAGATACTAAATCCGTACGTCACACGTGTGTCGTACAAGGTTGACCTTGTTTTATTCGTTTTGATTGGATAACCGTGACCTTTGTCACATCGGGACTACTTTTTTCATTCATAAAAATGAGACGTCATTCATTTTGCATCCACAAAGCAGAACACACTCCGGCGTAGTGGTAGGGTAGGAGAGTGAAGGCAGAACTGAAGAAATTAATGAGAACGAAAGATATTTACAAACACTTTATTGAACCAAACACAATAGTCACACGCGTCAAATTCGGTTTGCATTATATATAAGTTTTGGATAGAGCTTCTACAGACATTATATAATCGAGCTATATCCTTTTACAATGTACAACTACCGATCAATAGAGCGAGGGTCCCCATGAGCGTGACGCACCCGACCACTTTCGCAACTTTCAATTTGATTTAGGATAAGCGTGGTGAAATGAAGTCTGTTTAAACTATCTGGACAAATATTTAGACCTACTTGGGATGATCCGTTTGTGCCATCAGTGTCCCCTTCGAAGCACTGTTTCGGGAGGTGTTGTTCATGAATGAAAGTACACGACTGCACGACCAGATCACTAAAAGTGAACAGTTCTGATACAAATCATTCGAAATCTCCGTGGAAGTGTGACTGACTTCTGATTTTGTGCTCCCAAACATCCAAAATGTGAACAATAACACTCCCTATCTCTAGCGCAAAACGCTGTGAGTAGGCCTAGATCACGGTTGTCTTTTCTTATTCCGGTGGTGACCTTGCCCTTCGATCGTTCGAAGCTGACATGCAAGCAGACTTGAGTTTGTTGATTTTCACGTCTTCAGTATAGGGTGGTACAGTTAACATGAATGTCTTTGGCGAACACTCTGCATTCCCTCTTCCAAAATGGTACGAACATGATATAAATTCAGCTGATAGATCAAGGAAACCGAACCATTTTGATTGCACAGACAGGACACCGGCAATGACCGACTGTTAGTCCGATATTCAAAGCGCGGCGCTAATGTGACTTTTCAAATTTTCATATCGGTGTCCATCGTACAAACAACATGACGCTTGAATTACCATAAGTTGATGAATTTCTTCCAAAAGGATCTTGAGCGTCGGTGCTGTTATGTTTGCAAACAACTGCAGGGGCATGTTGTTAATGCGTATGCATAGAAATGTCAACAATGCCCATATTTGGGCATATATCAAAATTCATGCCCAACCAGATTTTGCAACCGGTTTCAGTTTGGTCGGTCAACGAACGAAAGTTGTTATGTATTTACACTCAAATATATATTTAACGTGGGTAATAAATAAAATACCACACTCATTCTCGTTAGATACCATTTTTACGAAACTCGTGAACTTTCTATGGTCTAACGAGAATGAGTGTAGTATTATCCATATACATTTTGTGACCACTTTCCCTTTAAGTAATGTTTGTTTGTTTGTTTGTTGTTAACCGCCACAGTCAGCAATAGTCCAGCTATATGAAGGCAGTCTGTAAATCTCGACCAGACAATCCAGTGATTGACATCATGAGCATCGATCCACCCAACTGGGATATGATGACATGCATCAACCAAGTCAGCGAGCCTGACAACCCGATCCCGTTAGTCGCCTCTTACGACAAGCATTATGTCAGGTTTACATATACACATGTACATACGGGTGAATATGATTATTCATTCAGCGGAAAAGATACCCGTAAAGGAATTGCCAATTACATAATCCCCGTGGGGACAAAGGGTTGACAAGAATGTGTCCTCAGCACCCCATTGCTGGTCGTAATGGACGACTGAGATGGGCAACGCATTCCCCGTTGGTTCCGTCCCTGTCTCGGCGGAGGACGGGAGTCTGGTAGTTGAGGTCACTGCCAGTTCCTGGAACTGTGTTCCTTTGCCCAACACACTATTTTGAACCCTTACTTCGCCTAGACGGGTTGAAGGATTGGCCCGGTCCTATCAATCGGCTGATCATGCCAAGTCCTGTGCGTAATATTGTATATGCACACGTGTGTTGAATTATAATGTATATTGTATTCTTGGTCATGTACAACTTGTATGAATTCACAATTGTGGATGGAATAAATTGCCTCGAGTCTTGTGCCAGAAGGTGGTGACTCATGGGACAATCTGGTGATGTTGACCTCTGTATTCTCCACGTTCTTGTCATGGGCTGAACCAGCATGGCTATTCAAGTCATATTTGGTGGGGAATATCATCCCTGTATCCCTGGTGTTCGCATCCTGGAAATCAGATGCACTACAACACTGTCCTTGTTGACACTCGATGGTGGGTGGGGAGAAGGTATGCAGGAGCACTTTCTTTCACAATGTCAATCCAACAATCTGGTTCAGTTCGCAACGACAGAAAAAAAGACGTCTTAAATAATGGTTCTGAAAACAAATAAAATTTATGGGCTCAATTTCTGATGATCGAGACTGCTGACAAACAAACTTTAAAATTGAATCCATTTTCTATTTCAAAAGCTATTGATAGACATTGGAGAAGGAAGTGAAAAATGTAATACGTCTCCGTTGTGGCTCCATTCTAGTTGAGTGTGTGAAAAAGCAGCAATCTCTTAATCTCTTGATTAGTCAGTTTGGCAATGTTGAGGTTGATGTTTCAGGACATAAGACTCTAAACTCCAGTGGAGGCATTGTTCGTGACAGAGCTCGACGCCTTTCCGACATGTCCGAACATGAAATTGTTACATAGTTGTAAGATCAAGCAATGACAGCTGTCAAACGTTTTTTCCTCTCCCATGAACACCTTTTTCTTCACATTTGATCGAACAACTATTTCTTGTTTAATTAAAGCTGGTTGTGTGAACATTGGAGTGGAGGTGTATGTCCCTATCCACTCTGATGTGGCCCTGGTTCCAAATCATGTGATCCACCCCAGGTTTGCCAGCGTTGTCGTGGTAAACATGATAGCAACGAATGTAGGGAAGATGTTAAGTGTGCCAACTGTAAAGGCCAACATGAAGCCTCATCAAAGTCCTGCCCTGGATGGAAAACTGAATCCCAGATATTGAGACCGAAACATCAAAGCAGTATTTCGTATCTGAAAGCCAAAAACCAAGTAGCTAACCAGTTACCAGCAACTATTACTTATTGTGCTGCAGTGTCTCGTTCTGTTTCCACTTCATCAATCGAATGTCAGACTGAGTTGTCATGGGTTAAACATGATCAACAAGTTGAATCAAGATGTCAGCCAGCCCAACAAATCAGATTGTCAGTCCAAAACATAATCTTCAGAGTCACAGACTGATTCACAATCTTTACCCGTTATTGGAAAACCAAAAATCTAACTAACCAGACAACATCTTAGAAGACCCATTCCTTCAGAGGTGCCTGTCCATAACTCCTTAGGACCTTTGGACATGTAGGTAAAATCCGTCTTTACAGGCCAGTGCTTGGACTTCATCTTCACGCTCGCGAGTCAGCCGCCATGACTCAAACACCTAATATGATGCAATGGAAGTTTTAATGGGATACAATTGCTAGTGCAGGACTTTAACCTATCAGCATTGTGTCTCAAAGAGACATATCTTAAGCACAACGATGTATTTAATTTAAGGCAATACAATTGCTATCATTCGTTTTCACCTCCAGGTGATAAAGCTACTGGATTTCTATATATTGAACAAATATGGCATCATCCACAGCACTGTTCTGCTTAATACAAATCATCAAGCTGTCAGTCTTGCATTACACATTGCCCTTACTTTGTGCTCCTTGTATATTCCTCCTTCAAATACTCTTCAGCAGTCTTATCTTTAGAATCTCTATGATCAGTTACCAAATTCCTGTATCATCATGGGCGATTTAATGGGCCTAACCCTCTATGGGGAAGTCCAAATTCAAACAGAAAGGGAAAAGTACTTGAAGACCTTATTTCTGACAATTATCTCGGCATATTTAATAACGATTCAAACACTTATTTACATCCTGCTACTGGAATATATTCAGCGCTTGATCTGTCAATCACATATTCAAATTTTTACAACGAATTTGAATGGTTAGTTCATGATGACCTCTACACGGGCCTAGTCGTCCAAGGCGCCGCGATTCGCTGTGCAGAGTTGCATCCCTAGGGCACGCCAGAAACCTATGATTGTGGGTTCGAATCCCGGTTCTCCCCAATTATGTTTCTAGGTTTGTCAGCACCGTACCCGTGCTCGTGGGTTTCACAGAAGTGGTAAACGTCTAAGACCTGTATCACTTCCGGCTTTCCTCCCACATTAAGCTGACACGCAGTGATATAACTGGAATACTGTTAAAAGCGGCGTTAAACCCAACTCACTCACTCACTCTTTGGGAATGACCACTTCCCTACTATTCTTAAATCTGTTAACCCTACTGACCTTCCACCAACAACACAGTGGAATTTTACAAAGGCTGATTTGTCATTATATGAATTATTATCTACTGAAAAATTAACACCTGACATTTTTAGACATGTTCAAGATCCGATATACTTTTTTTCGGACAACCGAATGATATTGGTAATGAAACACTTCAAAAGTCCTCTGCTAATCCACAAATTCGTACACCATGGTTTCACAATGAATGCAAACAGCCACAAAAATATAGGAAGAAAGCAGAAAAATATTTCCGTTGACATCCTACAGTCCATAATTTAGATAAGGT